CTCCAAGTGCTTTGTCTGTTTTTAGTTGTGCAGACTTTAGGTATGCTTCCTTTTTTTGACTAAGCTGATAATTTCCCGTCATCCAAGGTTTTGGAATCCTGCCATTTCTGTCCTTCATGTTCACAGGAACATGCTGTCCTGCACTCTAACTTTTAATCAACTTTAAAAGGCTCCCACATGTCAGATGTGGATTTACATTCAAAAAGCTGCTTCCAATTCACATTCTCCAATTCTTGCATAATTTGGTTATAGTTGGTCTTCCTTAATTTAACACCTTCATCTGAGGTCTACTCTTGTCCTTATCCATAAGTATCCAAAAACTTATGGAATTATGGCCACTATTTCCAAAATACCCTCTCACTGAAACTTTGATCATCTGGCTGGGCTCATTTCTCTATACAAGGAACAGTATGACCTCCTCCCTCATTGATCTATTCACATACTGTTCCAAAAAGCCCTCCTAGACACACCAAGCAAATTGCTCCCGTACAAACCTCTGGCACTAAGGTAGTCCCAGTCAATATGGGGGAAATTAAAATCACCCAGCACAACAACGCTGTTATTTTCACTTCTTTCCAGAATTTGATTACATATCTCTTCCTCTATTTACTGCTGGGAGGTCTGTAATACAATCCCAGCATTATGATCGCCCCCTTTCCTATTCCTGAGGTCTATGCATAATGCCTTGCTGCAAGATCCTTCCAGGGTGTCCTCCTTCAACACAGCTGTGATATGCTCTCTAACCAGTAGTGCAACTCCCCCACTTCTTTTGTTTCTTCCTCTGTCTTGTCTAAAACAGATATCTTGGAACTTTAAGCTGCCAGTCCTGTTCCTCTTTCAACCATGTCCCTGTGATAGCAGCAACATCATAATTGCATGCGTTAATCCAGGCTCTAAGATCATCCATCTTACCCGTTGTACTTCTTGCATTGAAGCAAATGCAGTCCAAGCCTCCAGTTCTGCTGAGCTCAGCAATCTCCCCCGACTGCTCTTCCTTTTAAGCTATATTTGCCTTAGTCCCAAGCTTTTCCCCAGGCTCTTAACTGACCTGCTGCTCTCATTCCCAACCCTCTGTCATACTGGTTTAAACCCTCCCGGGTGACATTATCAAACCCGCTGACCCTCCAGTTTAGATGCAACCCTTCATTCTTGGACAGGTCCCACCCTCGGAAGACATCCCAATGATTCAAATATTTGAAGCCCTGCACCTGCACCAGCTCTTTAGCCACGTGTTCAATTGTACTATGTCTCTGTTCCTAGCCTCAGTAGCATGTGACATGGAGACTGATCCTGTGATTACTACGCGCGAGGTCCTGCATTTTAGTTTACTACGTAACTCTCTGAATTGTCGCGCTTCCTACCGAGGTCTTCTGTGCCAATATGGACAATGGCTTCTGTCTGTTTACCCTCCTATTTCAGGATGCCCTGTTCCTGCTCAGAGACATCCATGAACCTGACACCAGGGAAGCACACCATCCTGGAGTCTCTCTTCCGGCCACGGAAGCACCTATCTGTGGCTCTGACTATCAAATCTCCAGTGACTATTGCTCACTATACTCTGTGCCTCCCCCCTCTACAGCAGGGCCAGCTGTGGTGCCACTGCTCTGGCTGTTGCTGCTGCTGTCACCTGATGGGCCACCCCCCTCATCAGTATCCAAAATGGAATACTTGTTTGACAGGGGGACACCTGCAGTGGACTGTTGCAGTGACTGCCTGTCCCGTCCAGCGGTCACCCATCTATCTTCCTGTACCTTGAGTGTGACCACGTTTTCATAACTTCTGTCTATGACACTGTCCACCATTTGTATGTTCCTTGGTGTCGCCTACTGCTCCTCAAGCCAGTCCATTTGTCTGATGAGCAGCTGAAGCTGGGTACACTTCCTGCAGATGTAATTATCGGGGATGCTCTCAGCGTCTATGATTGACCACATCTTGCAGGTGGAACACAAAACCCCATTGACTGACATGATTAATCTTCTGTTGGCTATTAGATTACAAATTAAATCTTAATTAGCTACCTAAAAATTACAATTATTACTTTCTGACCAATAGCTCCCCCGAACCTACTCACTATCTGAACTCCTGTACTAACCAGAAGATGAACTAACTGTACTAACCCTTTAGAAAGACTGAGACACACTTACCCTGTACTGTAGTGAGGTTCCTTCACTTGTAGCACTAAGGGAATGAATGGGTTAACATGAATTAGCACCGACCATTCAGAAACTGTGTTCTTCCCCCCGCTGTGTCGTCAGCAGGATGCTTCCCCGGAATGGGTGGCTGCTAGCACCTCCAGAAAGGGACGTGTCCGAACTGAAAACTTTGATTATATGTACAAATTATACATCCCAGTTGGTAACTTGCAAACTATTTGATTTAAAAATGCCATATTTACATCTTGAGGCTTCCTGTAATTTTTGTTTCAGGGATTTTTTTTTTTTGAAAAACATGTCTCCAGATTAAAAAGGCTGTAATCCCTGACCCAGGTGGATAGAATAGTGAACACTTGTGACAAACCATGACCAATAGCTTACGCTTCTGGAAAGGGCTCTGATGATATCCAGTTACTGAAGAACAGCGTGTACATATTTCTTCCCTTGCACACGGCAGTTTCATGAGATTGTTGGTAGTTCTTGCATTTGGCATTTGGGCCTACAGTTATTTAGCGGTGCTAAATTTTGAAGAATAGTCCTATTGGATTCTCAATGTTTAACTCTGATTCCCTGTCTTCGATGCTGTTAGACCTGTTGAGTTTCTCTGGCACTTTTAGTTTTTATATTAAAGATTTAGGGGAAATTTTGTCACAACTTAATTTGCATAAATATATTGTTGGCTAACATAGGGACAGTAAATTTGTTCTAACACTGAATTGCCTTTTTTAACTTTTTCGTCATGCGCTGCCCAGTCATAGCTGGGAAAAGATCCTATACTAGACCAAGTCCTTCTTAACTGTCACTTGGTAGCACAGACTTGAATTTCATCGCTTAAAAGCAAGACACATTGCTGGAGCTCATCACTATTGTTGTTGGCCTGTTTAAACATGTTATGACATACTTCCAGGTCAGGTAGAATTTGAACTTAGACCTCCTGGCCCAGATATAGGGGCACTGCCACTGTGCCATGAAGCCCTTTGCTGAAGCTTAAAGGTTTACGATGAACAGGAAAAAACCTGAGATGACTATATTTCAAATGATTACATCAACTTCAATTCCAGGAGAAAAGCACATTGACTCAGATTGGCTGAGATTGCCATGGAGATAGCCCAACATGTTAGCTCACTACCATCTTCTAAAGGGCACTAAATGCCCATGTCTCTCAAGTGAGCACTAAAAAGATACTTACAAGCTCCCGAAGCTCCTGGGTAAAGAACACATGTACCTGTGAATATATATTGGTCATTTCTAGCAAGTAAGTGAGCCATGTTATAACCTTGATATAACAGCAGCACACTGTTGAACAATGTCAAGTGGGAATTTCAGTTTTGAAGCAATTCCAGGTGGTCCTTACTTCCCAGTTAATGGCTGCTCAACTCAAACAGTTTGACTTGCATCGCATTAAATAAATATTGAAATGAATTTATTCTCATATTTCCTGTTTTCAAGTTGTTACTGCCATAGTACTTTCATTATCTATCAATGTGTCTGAGATAAAGCATGGATTTGCTAGCTGTTTGGAAGAGACTGAGCCTGATCCTAGTTATTTTCGGAAAGCAGGAAGAAAAGATTTAGTCATTGAAGATACAGTACTTGGATAAATATGGGTGGCAAGTGAAAGTTGACAGAAATTATTCTGCTTATTAACCAAGTACAGATATGTAAAGTTTCTTCCTAGTCTATGTGTATTGTCTGGTTAAAGAAAACTGTTTTTGCACAATTGCACTGGATTCCAAAGAGCAACGATATATATGCATTTAATGCAACATGAGGTGGAGAAAATAAACTAGAATGGCGCTAGCTCAGGTTATCCCTCTTCAGAATCACTGGTAGAACAGTTTTTGTTCTTATGTTATGACAAACAAGCCACTAATTCAGTAATGCCGGCATTTTTTAATAAAATAAAAGTGCCTGCACTGCAGCAAAAACAGAAATTGCTGGGGGAAGTTACCACTTCTGGCAGTATCTGTATTGCAACCAGTTTCAAGGCATTGATGCTGCTGATTGATTGAGTGGTTGAAGCCTCTATGTCAAGCTAACCTATTTAAATAGCAATCTTAATTGACACCTTGGGATTTTTAGTATTGTAATCATCCTGTCTGAGAAAACTATAGAAAAACATTTTTGTGTGTAGTGAAGGGGAGATTATTGGTACTCTTAGTTTTATTATGAACATTATAACATCTCATACCTACACAAAAGAGCTTCAAAGACTTCACTTGGTTTCTTTGAAGCACATTTATGGCTTTCTGCATTCTGAACTTTTGGTATGTGTTTATTTGTTTCCTGCCAATCTGATTAAGAGCATCGTAATTTGGAAGTCTTCAGATGCAGGTTTAAGTATAGCTCTTTTTTTTTGGTACCCTCTTAAAAGAGTCACACTGCAGTTCTGAAAAAGTCATTCTTGATTTCAAACATTAACTTTTTCTTTCTCCACAGATGCTGCCAGACTGCTGAGTTTCTCCAACATTCTGTTTCCATCATCTGCAATATCCTTCAATCAGCTTGTCATCTTCAAGAATCATTTGTATTTGTAGCAATTAGTATTTTAATAAAAAGTTGTTTGAAATATGCAACAAGCACACTAAGGTAGAGGTTATGAAAGTTGAGCAATTAATGTGTTTTAGTGATAATTTGTGAAATGTTTCATCTTGAAAGCCCCAAAATAATTATCTAAATTAATAAATTTCTGGAGAGAAAGGGAAGGGCTTATTGGTGGCAAGCACTGTGTACTCAGATAAATGAGGTAAACATTAAACTAATTGATACACTATTGTTTTGGGTTGAACTTGCATATAAAATTTCTTAGTTCATTAATTTTGCAGCCTTTGTGTTTTGTTTATATAGAAACTAGAGCACAGGAGAAGCGTCGACAGCATCAGGCTGTATTGAGAGCAGCAGCAGTCAACACTCCCAGCATTCAGCATAGCTCTCCAGCCCATCGGTATATACAGTGTCCTACATCTGTCTCCCTCAACTTCTCTAAAGACCCACCCCAAGTCCAGCCTTCCAACTTAAGGCCTTGCTCTCTTCCAACCTCCTTCAAAGTGGCAGGTTTGTATGCAATCGAAACTTCAAGCATTTCCAAGTTTTACCCATCTCTAAAATCCATGTCCAAGCCAAATTTGTTGAACAAAGCCTTAAGCAAACACCTTTCACCTTTGCTTCACCCCAGCCTATCTTCTCTGGGGGTTCTGGGTGAAAGAAACAGCATTTTGGGATCTTCATATGACATCAGTAGCCAACAAAGAAGGCAAAATCAGAACTGAGGAATTAAAATGGCTAATCAAAAGAAAATAAATAACTTGATGTTTTCATTGCAAAAAGAACTGTACCAAAAGAGAGGGGCCAAGATGATTCCATTGTTATGAGGGTTTCTCGGTATAACATTTAATGATCGTTCAGCTTCACAACCTGATGATAGGACAATTCAGTCATGAAGCACAGTTCTAAATTTATCTCTGTTTTCCATTTCGGATCATTAACACTAATCAAGAACTACATTCCATTAAAAGTAACTTATGCTGTTTTTCATTATTGACAGAATTCCAACAAACAAACATAAGCGAAAGAGGTAATATATCACCCTGTAAAAGAAATTGTTCTTCTTTTGTGATTTCACATGTATTAATTTTTGTTTCAATGAAACAAATTAGAGAAGCATTTGAAGTAGTTGTAATTTTTCTTCAAGTACACCTATGCATTGAAAACTTAATTTTACCAATCAGAACAGGATAGTTTGCTTACAGGTTTCAATATTATCAGGAATTGGATTGCATTAGAACGTTTAACCAAGACAGAAAGTTGCAGCAGGCTCATTTGCTGGCATTAGGTTGTGTGTGTTACTCAGCTTAGTTTTCTATATCCCTGTTTCCTTATGAACAATTCGTGCTCTAATGATTGACTTATCACCACCTGGATTTTTTCAGGTGGAAGTGGCCCTGATGGTAGACTAGAATGCTAGGGCAATTCTCTCTTAACTATACTGGTAAGCCCCAGTTGAACTTAAGCCTCATCATGGAGGCATTTTTGTCAGTATCCTGTCCCTTTAAAGAAAAGATCCTGCTTCCAAGAGCTGTAAATCAATCAAAAGGCTAGCATCTCTTTAGTCCCAGCTGGACCACTGGGAGTGATTGTCACTGGAGGGACTGCACCTAACTGAGCAATACAGTGATGAATACTGTATACAGGAACAATATATGAGGCTACGGGTATTGCTGGAGTCAGTCAGATGAGCCCTGGTAAGGGGGAGGTGGGCTTGGGAGGACAGAGGGAGTTTGCCACAGAGTCCTTGTGTGGTCTACAGTGCCTGATTAGGAGGACTGTCCTCCCACCCTGTTTAACTGCCAAAGGCCTGAGGAATGGGGCCTCTAATTGGCCACTGAAGTGGACATGATTGGCCTCTGGAAAAATAAGTCATTTTGCTTGTTCTCACCACTGACTGAGCCTTGGTGGCAACAGGTTATCAGGCACAAACATAAGCGAAAGAGGTAATATATCACCCTGTAAAAGAAATTGTTCTTCTTTTGTGAGGCTCCTCTGCCTTTTGTTCTGATTCATATCTCCTCCCTCAGGTCCCATAAAAATCCACCCACAGTGTGAATGATTAACATAAAAAAGTTAGTAAGTTTAAGCTCCTAGACACATGCTATACTAAATCTAAGTGTTAATGTTCTCACCATTGATTTTTGTTTCTATATCCTTCAATCCTATTTTTGATATAGTTCCATAGCTGGCAGTGATATTCACCTGTATCTCTATCTATTGTTATGTTCTTTATGTGACATCAGAGACTGGGTGTTGTAGGAACTTTTATTTGATCCTGACCCAGTCTTCATCCACATTTCCATCAGGATACCAGGAGTGGTTACCCATATTTCCTTTTGTTTCTCCCATGTTTTTGGCATTAGAAAACTGAGGTCCATTGTCTGGCCTGAAGTATCAATCCAGATCAGAATAACCAGTTTAACACAGACCAAGGATAAAAGCGGGGCCCTTTCTGACATCTGACTTTGTGACCCCACCATTTCTTGTCTTTCATCAGTGAGCTCTGATTGATTACAGATTATAGTTTTTGAAGTCACAATTTATCACTGATACCAGATCAATTTCTTTTTGGGCCAAGTTTACCAGTTGTAAGTATTGCAGTAATGTGTGCCATCATTCCACTGATTTGGATTATCATTGATAATGTCTCAACCTGAGATGTGACCTGTAAAATATTTGAGGTGGTGTTCTGGTGGCAGAACATGTTGGAGCAGGATATAGTGCCATGCATTGACAAGTCACTGTTTCATATTATATTCACTAAAGTTGCCATTTCAGTTCATGGTTCTGTGAGAAGGACTAAATGGAAACGAGACCCTATCTGCATGGGAAAGCCACCGCAATGGGACAGGAAGTTGTTGGCATTAGAGGGTAAATGTTTTTGATGGTCTTTGTGTACTTGGCATTTACTCCCCCTACTAGATAAAGGTGGTATATGGCCTTGGAGCCTAATGAGAGAGAAATCAGTATTGTATGGAGAAATGAGTGAAAAAGGTATTCATACTTTTATAAGTTGCTGATAGTCTGCTTAAGTACAGCATAATTTGTTACTTTTAAAACAATAAAAGAATATAGCCCCATGTAACTATGATGGGTAGCTGGAAGTTTAGTCTCAGGGTGATTTTATAATAGTCATTGTCAAATTCTTCAATTTTCTTCGTAGCATTCTTAGATATGGAAGTTGTGAGAAAGGAATTTAGAGGGTTGCCAATGTAATACCTCTATTCCAAAAGGGAGAAACGAAGTGTCTACAGACCAATCAAATTGACTGAATGTACTATTGAAGGAAATAATGGAATCTATTGAAAAGTGCATAATCATTGTCTGTAAAATTTTGAAAGGAGTTTGCTGACATGACATATTGAAAATCATTCATAATATTAAGAGTGTGGCAGTATAGATGGAAGGTGGTCAAAGGACAGAAGCCAAATAATAGTTCATTCCACATTTTTCCAGTATGGACATGGCATGTTATAACATTGCTTTTCCTCACTTCCTCTCTACTTTTATCTTACTCTCTTCTTGATCATTCCTTCTCACTGTCTCAAAAAAGGATTCAGACTCTGGTATGGCACATCAAGTAAAAGTTTGTTACTGACAAAAATGGGAGTGTAACTAATTGGTGACAAATATTAAATGGGAATGTAACTAACTGATGATGAATATTTCAAATGGATGTAGACAGTTCAGTAGATTCAGCAGTTAGATGTCAGGTGAAATTTTTGTGTGGAGCAAGATGCAATATATTTTGGGAATAAGAGCTTAATGGTTAAAATTCAGAAAGGAGAAAGCAGTAAGACTTTGGATTAAGATGTAGAAATTTTAAAAACAAATTTAAAATTCAAAGGGTTTGAGTACAAAAGCAAAGATACTCGAAAAGGAAAGTTGCGAAGTGCTTGAAAAATGTGAAAAGGATATAGGGATGTGGCAATGATGACAAAGGCCACAATGAAATAAGTGATGTCCTTCCATGCTGTAGAATTGTATTTCATGAAAGCAGGAAACGTTATGCAAGTTTTGCAGACATGAATTTTTTAATTTCCCATTTTCCCTTCTTAACATTTTGCAACTGAAACTGCACACCCCTTCAAACCTGATGGTAATACTGTTTCAGAGGCAATAGAATACTCATAAGAAAAGATATATCAAGTGTTAAGTTTCTCTTCATGAGCTGTATGACCACTGACCGAATATGTTGGTAGACTATCTACTTTTTGATGTCCATTTAGACTTCTGTGTAGGAAAGTAATTGGAGTAGCCTGGTGAGAAAGCCCATGCCTAAATTTCTGTCCTGTCCTGTGGAGCCATGCCTACCATTCACTCACCGCTGCACTGTTGAGAACATTCTAATATGTTATTGTTGTTTGCTTGTTGTGTCATCCAGGAAAAACCTTTCATTCTAGCCGTCAGTCGTGCAATGCGTTGAAGTGCACAGGTTTGATTCAATTTCATCTACTTTGCCTTGGCTCTGTGGTAGAGTTGTTGCCTCTGAGTCAGAAGGCTTTGGGTTCTACCTTCACTACAGCACTAAAGCACTTTATCTGGGCTGACACCTCAGTGAAATATTTCGCTGTCGTTTGGAAAAGAGGTTAAAGAATGTGTTTATCTTCTCTAATGGACTTTAAAGCTGCTGTGATGTTTTCGAAGTGCAGTGGATTTCTCACCATTTCCTAGTCAACAGTTATCCCTTAACCAGTGAAACAGATGATCTGGTGGCTTGTTGTGTTAACATTTACTCTACTTTACACAAATTGGTTATCACATTTATTTGCACCACAATTGTGAATATGCTCTAAACATACTTGGCTGTGAAATTCTTTGGGATGTCCTGAGATCATGAAATGCATTATATAAATGCTATTTATCACTCAGTTGCCTGACTATGTGCAGTAGAAACTGGGAGCTGCCCACAACATTTGATGGATAAATGGAAAGTTGGTTTATTTCTGGTCTTTGTTATGTAGATCACTTGGCAATGAAGGTTGCATGGCAGTTGGTCACTGGTGCTATCTTGGACACAAGTGAGAGCTATTTAGAAGAAAGTAAGTCAGAAAGTCATGTAATTGCCGTTAATTATTTTTTGTTCCGTATTAGTAAAACTATAAAATAATCCAGGCAGAACTAACTTTTCATAGATTTTAAGTCATTCATATTGTACTTTTTGAAGATTACTTTCAAACCTGAAGGTTTTAAAAATTAATGTACAAATGGTGAAGAAAAGGTTACTTTAAATATTATTTAAAGTAAAATCTTCAAACTGATATCCTCTGCCTAATTTACTTCATTGTGCATCACACTGAGCACCAGCATATGAGTGATCAGCTGAAGTGCCCTCCTTGTATAATTTCCACGAGTCGCTTTGATTGATATATTGTTATAGCATGGGAGACTACATATAATGAAAGATTAGTTCATTGTTAACTTCATATGATGCATGGTCAGGAACCAGCGGCATGATTGCCACTATACACCTGCCAGAATTATTCCACTTAGTATTTCAAACCTGATTAATATAATAATGTCATATGTACAATGAATGACTAATAAATCCTTCCTTTTTATAACCCAACAAGCTTTCATCAAGCAGTTAGGGTATTTACAAGCCAAGAAACAGTTGACCTGTGTTAGTTACATGATCATGTTGAAAACCTTATAAATTCAATTTGATATAATTGTAAAATCAAACTTAAACCTACCTGGGATAGAGTAAAAATGAGCTCCTTACACCAAGTACTTTCATGCTTGAAGGTCCAAGGTGGCAGAAGAGATTGTTTAGGACAAGGCAGGAAAATTTTACACTACTTAATATGGTCAGTATGCTCTAAATATGGAAGTATTGCATCAATAAAATAACCGAAAACTTTAGTTACAACAACATAGTGATGGATGAGTGATTGCTATAAAGTTTTAGTTCTAAATCACCTCTGAGTGAACCCAAAGTTGAAAAGATTGTTTCGTTTGGACCTGCTTGTGCCGACTTCCTATACATTCACTTGAATGGTTAAACAAAGAAGTATAGAGAATCTTGGAGTATCCATATATCCAAGAAAATTAATTATTTTTTTAAAAATAGCATTTTTAAGTAGAATTTACTCTAAAATGGGACAAAAACTTCTTTTCCTTTGAAATAAGCAAACCAAGTCAATTAATGTTAAAAGAACATTCAAAATCAGCAATTAATAACAGCTTATGATTTTCTAACAAGCTGGAAATGTAAATGCTTATGCCAAACACAGTTGAATCATCATTTAATTGTCATACTATATGGTGGCGATGGTGTCATGAATAGAGAACAGGTTGTCATCTAAGTTTCAGGATAACGTCACTGGAACCTGTAAGCAAACATAATTTTTGTTTGAAATTTCTTTCTTCAAACAAAACATTAAGTGTGGTCTAATTAATACATGAATAAGATTTATTTATTATGAATTAATTATGACTAGCAAAGTTCTCTGAGGTTGGCTGAAATCCCAGGGGCCGTATTTGTATTGCTTCTACTTTTGCTCAGCATGGATAGTAAAACGCTTGATGTAATTTTCTTGGTTCTTGTGATTTACCACGTTTTGGGACCAGCTAAATTGGACAGCAGAGTTTTTTGTTGTTCCTGGACTTTGCTGTGTCCTTGTACCTTGGACTTTTGCAAGAGTTTTGAAAGAAACCCCACTCACGCCAGCTTACTCCTTTCAGGTCATATATCGTACTTTTGTTTGATTGGATTTCTTTTCAAAGATTTTGAACATACAGTATTTGGTTCACTGACTTAATTTTGTATAAGGTATTATGTTGGGATACTAAATGCATACATTGCTACCTGTAAAGCAAGTAGGTGGAAGGCAGTTGTGAAATTTACTCTGTATAAAAATTATCACCTTAATAAAAACATTTCAATACATTTTTATACGTATGGCTGGGGAATTAGTCTTAGTGCTGATGCTGACAGTTCAATGCAGATACTAATAGTCCAACGACAATTTCAATGCTGAAGTATTGTCTCTTTGCATGAAATAACATATGATTTTATTCAGTAAGTCTAATTTTCTTCTGCTTAACATATCCCATTCCATTAGGAGGCTATTAGAAGAGTACATTCTTATCTTTTGTCACATTGCACTTTACATTAGTATTACTTTGTGCTGCTTGTTTTTGTTGATATATATCTATCACACTTTTACACTATTAGATAGCTGTTTGCACTTTGAGCAGGGAAGTGAATAATGGGACCATATTCATGACCTCTGAATTTCAGTATCAGCATTGAAAATTTGTCATGTGTTACAGCAGTTGCCATTAGACTGAACAGTAGGTTAGAACAGTAAATGGACTGCATTGAAATAATCAGCATTAATATGTTTGTCTTGCGTCCATTGCCCAAACAAAAATAATGAATGGAAGTATGTGTATTAATAGTTGTGGTATTCCCAAAATTTGTTTCAGTAGCTTCAGTAGAAATGGATCTGAATCAGCAAATACTGATTGCACACCATAAACTATATCTCTCTCCAGTGCAGGGTAGATCCATACTTGAGATTTAGAAACACTTTTGAGTAGAATTTTAGCATTTTTTCTTTACTATGATGCATGTGTATTTGGCAAAAGTTTGATACTACGACTGGGTAGCTCGTAAACATTTTGGAGAAAATATCTTATTTAGGATCTTTACCAGAATTGAATTAATTCTCCCATTCTGAACTTCCAAGCATATGTTTTTTTTCTTATCCCAGTGATAGGTATGCTGGAAATGCAAGGATTGATCATGCTTTATTGTGCCACTTAATCTCTGTTGCAATTGTTTCTGTAAATTTCCAAGAGACCGCCCCCCCACCACCTCTCTCACACCTTCAGTACATGTACAAGTCCACTTGAATTTGAATATATTACACAAGCAAGCTTTAACTATACATTTTTACTCAATATCATTGAGACTTTTATGATTGTGTTTACCAGTTAGTTGCCAATTTTCTTGGTGTGTTTAAGCCATTTTTGTCTTGGTGATGTGGCCAATAGCATTATTTATGACAATAAAATAAACCTTAAATCCTGAGAACAAATGAAAACTGGAACCAGAACCAAAACAAATCAGATTTTCTTGCAATAGAAGATAGTTTTATGATATATCTAATGGAAGATTGCACATTTAAATTGTTTCATTTGGGATTTGATTTTGCTTTGATTAACAAATGGAAAAAAAAATCCAACAGTTTGACTTCAACATTCTATTCACTTCTTTCTACATGTAAAATTATCTACTTTATGCTGAAATGACTTAAATAGTTTATTTAAAACAACTTTTTTTTTTGATTTGTCTATACTTCAACTTATTCTGGAGGGATCGTTTAAGAAATGTGGAAAGTTTATTTGAGAAGTTGTATTCTTGACTCTGTCGTATAAAAGATACAATTTGATCAACCTTCTTCAAAAATATTTGCTAGCCAGTTTTACTCAACAGGCCTAGTCTTTTATTAATTACTTTTTCGTGTTTGGTATGAGCTCAGTCACTTTTTGCTTTGCATTGATTTAATTTGGCAAATTGTAGTAAATTTCATAACTTTGAGCTTTTGTTCCTTTCTAATTAATTTCTGTTAAACGTTTGGTTCCTGTGTGCCTGGCTTGCCAAATATGGCAGTTTACCTTATATAAATATGTGAGACTTCAGAATTATCTATATTCAGAAAGACAACTGAGCAGTCCTAAAGCAGTGTAGTATTCTCAGATTAGAGATTGCAACAGTAGCATTATCCCAATGCTGCAATGTATGTGGCCAGTGACAGCAGAAAGAAAAATTAGGCATTAAATCTTTCCACAATCCTAACTTTCATGGAAGAAGTGCGAGAGCAAAATACTATCAATTCTGAAAGAAAAACTGAAAGTGCTAGCAATACTAGTAGGTAGGAAACATCTTTGGAGAGAGAAACTTTTTCTAATTCATCTGTAAGGTGATAAGCAAAAAGCTATAATTTTATCTATATCCACGCATGCTGTCAAACCTGCTGAGTATTTCTAGCATTTTCATTTAATAAGTGTTTGGTTACAATTCATACCTTCCCTCTGATAGTTCAATGATAATTGGAAACATGTCTCTAGTTACAAAATGTTTAAACATTTCACATGAATGGAATTTTTACATAAACCAAGCTTTTTTCGTTATATATCTGACTCTACAGAAGGAGCCAGAGATGTGTTAAAGATGGATGTAAAGAGCATTAAATGTTTTTATTAAATAATGTTTTAACAGATTTTGTAATGTGATCAATAATTTATTATTTAACGTTGAAGGGGATTTTATATTCTGCTGATAGCTGTTTTACTTTAGCTGTTTACATACAGTTATATACAGTGGCAACAGTGCAACAAAGACAAACAAAATTAATGCTTTATCCCCTATGTTTACAAATATTCCAGAATATGAATTATGTTGCTTGGAGAGTTGGTGGGGAGTACAGGGATGAAATGAAAGAACTGTTTTTGGCGCAGGAGACCTCGAAAATGATTCGGAAAGTACAAAACATAAAATAACATGCACAGCCTACAATAAAATGAAGAAGATATGACCACTTAATCAAATAACAAAAGTGACATAAATCGGCTTCTGTATTACAGAAGGGTGACAGTTATGCTGTTATCAATGATGGAACTACGTTGTAAGTAAACACAGTCAGGGAAATGTTGGAAAGCATTAAATTTGTTTGTTGCAATTTGTAATTTATCCTCCTGTTTTCACTTGAAGAAATGGTTATCTGAGAAAAGACTTGGTGTTTTATTGTGAGTAGTACACATTTTCATGCCAATTACTTTTTTGTGTAATTTGAATGTTCTTGCAACCTTTTTGTCATTCGTGTGGAGTTTGTGAAATTACCTCAAATGTGTGTTTTTGGTAAATAAACTTTATTTATATGTTTTTGAAAAAAAAACTTTCTCTTGAATTGTTCCCTTTTTTCATTCTGTTTATGTTTCAACATATGATAAATTACAACTACAAAAGCACAATTCTGCAGATTCAGTACGTCTAAGAGCATAAAATGCTGGAAATATTCAGCACATTGGC